GAGCCTTCCCCAGACTCCAGAACTGGCCCAGGTTCCTCCCCAATCTCCTCACTGTCCGAATCTGCTGCCAGCTCCGTCAGCCGACCATAAGAACATGGACAATCCTGCCCTAGACCAAAAATCCACACTGATAATAGCAATAGCACTTAAACTTACATACCGCTTCATAATGCTTCACGGCCCTCTCTTAGGGGTTTACAGAGTCAACCTCTTGACCCCCAACAATCTGGGTCCTCATTTTACCCACCTCCGAAGGATGGGAAGCTGAGTCAACCTCGAGCCGGTCAGGATCGAACTGCTGGCAGCCGGCAGTCAGCAGAATTAGCCTGCAGTACTGCATCCTAACCACTGCGGCTCCACGGTTCTTTTGAGAAGGTTTGGACTTCCAATCAACAAATCAAAACTAAGAAGAACTAAGGTCTATTGCAGTGGCTGTAAGTAATAAGATCTTCCCAGTGTGAATATTCCTTCCCCTTTCCTTTAAACTAGGGAGGGGGCTTGTCTGCAACGATTTCTCGTATTACTTTCTTGGCCTAGGCTCAAGCCCCTCTTCTTTGACCGTTGCCTTGGTAACAAGCTCTTTCTCCCTGTCCTTCAAGGCTCTTCTCCATGCCCTCTAAATGTGGTTCTTGTTTCCAAGTCTGCAACTTACTACTAAATCGAACTGGCTGTGCCATGTTGATGGTATGGAAGCGTGTCGTGTCCCCTCCTCTTCCGCGACCGTGCCTGGAATCCACATTTTCCTTCCCGTGATAAATGCGTTGGTCCCCCGTATAGTCTAGGAGAAAGGTAAGCACAGGAAGCTTCAGGTAAGCAAGGATGAGCAAGTGGCGTATTTTTCCCCCATGTTTAACCCCAATTAAATTTAGTTTTTCTCCAGAAAACAAGTATAGATTTATTTATTATGAAAACGTTCAAATAGGCCTATGATTTGTGTTTGAGTCATGAAAAGGCGCAAAAGGGACTTGGGAAGTGGACAGAATAATGCAAAGGTTAGATCACTGATGGCGAACCTTTTCGGCACCGAGTGCCCAAACCAGAACACCCGTGCATGCATGTGTGCACCCGAGCGCAGAAAACCTGAAGACCAGCTGGCTGGTGCTCGTGCTTGTGCCAGCTAGCCAGTCTTCGTGTTTCCAGCATGCCTGTTTTTTTAGGCCATTTTCACACCAGCCAGCTGTCGTTCTCACACGCCCACGCCCACGAAGACCAGCTGGCCAGTGCACATGTGTGTGCCGGAAACCAAAATAGCAGCTGGCTGAAAAATAGGCTGTTTTTCAGGCCAATTTCCGGCTGTTTTTGGGCACTCCGAAAACTGGCCCAGAAAACCAGCCTGTTTTTTGACCGGTTTTCGGGCCATTTTCCGGCGTCCACAAAGATCAGCTGGCCGGCATGTATGTGAGTGCCGGAAATCGGAAGAGCAGCTGATGAGGGTGTGCGTGCCCAGAGAGGGTTAGATCAATTCAGCTGATCTTTTTTGACCATTGTAAGATTTGCTTAACATCCTTCTTTCTTTGATTTTAAAAAAAAAGTGAAATTATTTCGCCCGCGTTGTTTCTCCTGATCCGGGATTCTTATCATACCTTGGCTTTCACGAGTCGCGCCTAATAACGGAGATAAAAGAGAATCCATGCAAACCGTTCACTGGATGTTAAAATGATGATTTTTCTTTTTTAACCACTCTTGCTGGTGTCAGCAAAATCTTTGGCTCAAAACCAGTGGGCGAGCGCACTTCAAAGACCGCGGAGGTGGGTTGACCCAAATAAAAGAGAGAGAAATCAGCCGATAGAAATCTATGTATTACTGAGGGATTCCTAAGAGGCTTCGAGACACAACTTTGGCAATGTTGGATGTCACGTTAATTATTGCGCCCATTTCTCGGCTTCGGGAAATTGTACAGGCGGCCCTCAACTTATGACAGTTTGTTTAGTGACCATTCAAATTACAACGGCAGTGGGGGGGAAGGGATCTATGACCGCTTTCACACGACCTTTGCAGCATCCCAGCGGTTCCCTGCTCAAAATTCAGATAACGGCCACCAATTCATATTTATGATAGTTGCAATGTCCCGGGGGGTGGGGGTGTTTGTCATGCTACCCCCTTTTGCAGCTTTCTGATAAACAAAGTCAAAGAGGCAACCTGGTCCACTTAACAACTGTGTTACTAACTTCAAACCTGCAGGGATTCACTGAACGACTGTGGTGAGAAAGGGCTTAAAATGGGGCAAAACTCACTTTAAGAACTGCCTCAGTTAACAACAGAAATGTTGCCCTCTATTGTGGTCGTAAGTCGAGGCCTACCTGTACCTGGTAGGTATCAACATCCTATGGGATAGAAAACCATACTGAGGCAGGTATCTAAGTGAGATAGCTGGGAAATACAATGATGTTTGTAGGAAGTTTAAAGGTAAAGGTTCCCCTTGCATATAGGTGCTAGTCGTTCGCGACTCTAGGGGGCAGTGCTAATCTCCCTTTCAAAGCTGAAGAGCCAGCGCTGTCCGAAGATGTCTCCGTGGTCATGTGACCAGCATGACTCAACGCCAAAGGCGCACGAAACACTGTGACCTTCCCACCAAAGGTGGTTCCTAATGTTCTACTTGCGTTTTACATACTTTTATACTTTACCAGGTTCACCTGGTGCGTCAGTTGCGCCCCTTCCTGGATCGGGATGCTCTGTGCACAGTCACTCATGCCCTCGTCCTTTCTCGCCTGGACTACTGCAACGCTCTCTACATGGGGCTGCCCTTGAAGAGCTCCTGGAGGCTTCAGCTGGTCCAGAATGAACCCGCGTGGGTTATCATGGGGGTACCTAGGTGCTCCCATGTTACGCCCATTTTAGGCGGCCTGCACTGGTTGCCAGTTGTCTTCCGGGTGCGATTCAAGGTACTAATTATGACCTTTAAAGAGCTCCATGGCTTAGGCCCAGGGTACCTGCGAGACCACCTACTGCCTAGCCTCCCATCGTCCAGTGCGATCCCACAGAGTTGGCTTCCTCAGGGTGCCATCGGCCAGTGTTGGCTAGTGACCCCCAGGGGGAGAGCCTTCTCTGTGCCTTCCCTCTGGAATGAGCTACCCCCGGAATTTTCAAACTGCTAGGTTGGAAGAAGCTGGGACAAGTAATGGGAACTCACTCCATTACGCGGCGCAAAGGATTTGAAACATTGAATTGCCAACCTGCTGATCAGCAAACTCAGCATCTTAACCACTGCGTCCCTTCTATGGGAAGTTTAGCCCTAGGTTAAATAATCATCCATCCCCCAAAAATATGATCTTGTAAAATTTAGCTATGGGGCAGCCAACTAAAACTGCTGGACTAGGATGGAGAACTGAAACTTTGGAGAACCTCAATGATCAAAAATGAAACCATATCTAAAGAATGAGGAATAGAGTTAAAGGAAAGACTGCTAACTTGTAGGATTACCACCACCACCCCACCAAAAATGGAAAGCGTCAAGTAAGGGGATGTTTGGAAACTGCCAGTGGGTTGTCTTATTTACACGCACCCTGCAAAACAAGAACAACTTCTTCTCACTTCCACGATCAGTTGCAGAAAGGAGGAAATGGGAATTGTGTTACTAGCAATTCACGGAGGAGCTGACCAAAGTAGGAGTGAAAGTTCTCAGAATGACAAGAGTTGGAAGGGACCTTGGAGGTCTTCTAGTCTAACCACCCTGCTCATGCAGGAAACCCTGTGCCGTCAAATCGTTGTGCAATCTCTTCTTAAAAACTTCCAGTGTTGGAGCATTCAGAACTTCTAGAGGCAAGTTGTTCCACTGATTAATTGTTCTAACTGTCAGGGAATTTCCTCCTTAGTTCTAGGTTGCTTCTCTCCTTGATTAGTTTCCACCCATTCCTTCTTGTTCTGCCCTCAGGTGCCTTGGAGAATAGCTTAACTCCCTCTTCTTTGGGGCAGCCCCTGAGATATTGGAAGACTGCTATCATGTCTCCCCTAGTCCTTCTTTTCATTAGATTAGACAGACCCAATTCCTGCAACTTTTCTTCATATGTTTTAGCCTCCAGTCCCCTAATCCTCTTTGTTGTTCTTCTCTGCGTTCTTGCCAGAATCTCAATGTATTTTTATATCGTGGCAACCAAAACTGGATGCACTATTCCAAGTGTGGCCTTACCAAGGCATTATAAAGTGGCATTAATACTTCACGTGATCTTGATTCTATCCCTCTATTAATGCAGCCTAGAACTATGTTGGCTTTTTCTCGATCTGAGCAACCGTGATATCAATGTAAAAAGGTAAAGGTAAAGGTTCCCCTTGCACATATGTGCTAGTCGTTCCCGACTCTAGGGGGCGTTGCTCATCTCTGTTTTAGAGCCGAAGAGCCAGCGCTGTCATGTGGCCGGCATGATTAAACTCCGAGGGTGCACGGAGCGCTGTTACATTCCCACCAAAGGTGGTTCCTGTTTTTCTACTTGCATTTTTTAATATCCTTTCGAATTGTTCGGTTGGCAGAAGCTGGGACAAGTCACAGGAGCTCCCTCCGTTACACGGCACTGGGGATTCAAACCGCTGAGCTGCCGACCTTTCTGATCAACAAGCTCAGAGGTTTAGCCTCTGAGCCACCACATCGCAGATATCAGTGAGGCTCTGCCAAATATTTGCATGGTTTTGAGATAGCTTCTGCTGTTGCTTCTTCTCCTTCTTCAAAAGAAAGGACCAGATAACAAGAGCGTCAAAAAATGTGGAACTGCAAATATGTATTGCATGCACAGGTAGATTGGGAGACGGGGGGTGTTGTCTCTTGGTGCTCTCTGAGCTTGGATGTTTTCTTGAAGATGTTTCACAACCCAAACTAGGTAACATCATCAGTCTATTGTACGCTACCACTAATAGTGTTACCTGGTTGGGTAATGAAACGTCTGCAAGAAAACAACCAAGCTCAGAGAGCACCACAATCCTCTTCCTCCTCCCTCTCTTCCTTCTCAACCCCATTCCTTTCTAGCATTGATGATGTTACCTAGTTTGGCTCATGAAGCAACTGCAAGAAAACAAGCACCGAGGATCCTTCATATCAACCCTGAGTTACAAAATGTTCTTCTTTATTAATAGGTACGCGTGCTTCAAACTAGCACAGGTTCCAGAGGGAAACAAATTTAAGACCCATAGCTGGGTTCATGCTGGGAACAGACAAAAAAATAAATAAATCCCAAAGTGAGAATGTTTTGAGGTTGGGACATTCTCCTTGGAGGCTGAAACGATTCCTTCAAGTTGGTGCAGGTTCTCTCAATTAAACTGGAAGGCCTTCAAAGAGTTGGAAAACACCCCCAAGCTCAAAGGCAAACTGTTTTCAATATGAAAATATTTCAGATTCCAAACATTTCTCTTTTTTTTCTTTTCTTTTCTTTTTTTTTTGCACAGCCCTGGATCACATTTCATGTTGAGCGGTTATGATGATATGGTTTGCAGTCCTCTGTTGAGCTAATGTTTTGGGCAAACTCAACCAACTCTGGTTTAGTTAAAACGGCCATGTTAAAAAGTTATGGTCAGCAATGATGGGTGGGTAGGTAGGTATCTAGGTAGGTAGGTAGGTAGGTAGGTAGGTAGGTAGGTAGGTAGGTAGGTAGGAAGGAAAGAAAAGAGATAAAGGAGAAAAAGCAAAAGGGCTGAAGGGAAGGAGAAGGGAGGGAAAGAGGGAAAGGAGGGGGAGGGAAGGAAGGAAGGAAAACAGAAAGAAAAAGGGCTGAAGGGAGGGAGTAAATATGGAGAGAGGGAGAGAAGAAGGAAGGAAGGAAGGAAGGAAGGAAGGAAGGAAGGAAGGAAAAGAGAGAAAGGAGAAAAAGCAAAAGGGCTGAAGGGAGGGAGAAAGCAGGGAGGGAGGGAGGAAGGGATAATAATAATAACGAGACAATTTTTCAGGAAGATCTGAAAAATATTAATCTTAAATTAAAGGATGTAGAGATTGTAGCTGCAGTCTGAGATCTGTTGTGTATGCTTTTAGTCCAATGTGCTTAGCGCAGGATGGAATAAGAGGAAGAGGAGGAGGACAACAACAACAGCCACAACAACAACTTTTAAATAAACAAGGGCAATGAAGAAAATGTCTCTTCCTGACAGCCACTTCTCTTTTCTTCTAAACAAGAAGCTGCAAGAGAGAGAAAAAATCTCTTCCTTAGCCGAATCGTTTCTTTGTGGGAGGTTAGAAAGAAGAGCTCCTGGACTGCAGGTGGGTGACGTTGCCAAGCACATGCACCAAAGAGACCCCCATCGCTCCCAACCGCTTGGGAAAAAGCTTGAGAATCTCCTACACCACCACTGGTTCGCCTTCCCTGAAAATATTGCAACACAGCAGCAGCCATGAGGTGACCACGCTCTCCGCCTCCTGCGCCTCAAAAATAATAAGACCTCCCCGAAAATAAGGCCAAGCGCTTATTTCAGGGGGGGGGAATAAGACCCTGTCTTATTTTCAGGAAAAACACGGTATATATTCCATGCAATACGAGTCATTTCTTGCTAGGGTGGCATTCATGCCGTTCTGCTTTTGTTAAAAAGCAAGGGGGGGGAAAACCCTTTCATTGAAATCAAGAGGGAAATCATGCCCCCAAAATTGATTTCGCGAGCTGCGCAAAGACAAAACTGATGGCGAGGCCAAGATTCTAAGTTGGCAAAGGCAAGCCAATGATTAAATACAAGTTTTGGGTTTTTTAAAGAGATATCTCTTACGTAACCTTATTGAGCTGCTCCGACTGTATGAAACATTGTCCTGCAGGCTTCCACTCTCTGCCAATGTCACTCAACATTCTGGTTTTTCCGCTTCCGTCAAAGGCAATTTATTAAAATAATAATAATAATAACCACCCAGCTGTACATACAGTATCCATGGGCCGGATCTAAGCACCCGGAGGGCAGATCTAAGCACCCCACAGGTTGGATCGAAGCACCCCGCAGGCTGGATCTGCCCCCCTCCCCCGGGCCTTGGGTTTGAGACCCCTGGTATAAAGTCTCCTGCCTTGTGCACGGGTCGGGCTAGAAGACCTCCAAGGCCACTCCCAGCCCTAGGATCCTACGCTTTTCATTCTGTGTTCTTTGGGGAGGGGGCACTTACTTGGGCAGCCAACTTCATCACTTTCATCCTCACAGGTGGGCCACCCATCGCACTGCCACTTGGAAGGGATGCACTGGACTGAACCACTCCGGCAGGTGAATTGCCCAGGGATGCAACGCAGTTCTGCAAAAGACGAAGAGAAAGTTGCTCAAGCTTCCGAACCCAAGAATACTATCCGCAAGGAGAATCCCTCTTGGCTTGGAGCTGGGGCGCTCAAATTTAAACCCCTTTTCGTGGTTTGGGATGAGCAGTGAGAAAGAAACATGAAATGTTCGCATTACGGGAGGAGGTTTTGATTAGGTTTCTTCCTCTCCCACTCTCCCAATCTCCACCAGTGGCAAATGAGAGGTGGCTCTTCTGAATCCCGTTAAAAGCAAGGACCAAGGAAAGCTGTAATTGACTTTGGCTGCAAAAATTGATCGGCACTACAGCAAGCAAACACATGGAGTGTGTAACTTAACGCAGATGAGAACCATACACCAAATAGCCATAGCCCTTAGACTTATATAGCACTTCACAATGTTTTTACAGCCCTCTCTAAGTGGTTTACAGAGTCAGCCTTTTGCCCCCAACAATCTGGCTCCTCATTTTATCCCCCTCGGAAGGATGGAAGGCTGAGTCCACCTTCAGCCTGGTGAGATTTGAACTGCAGGCAGTGGGCAAAGTTTGCCTGCAATACTGCATTCTAACCACTGTGCCGGATGGATGGATGGATGGATGGATGGATGGATGGATGGATGGATGCATGGATGGATGGAAGGAAGGAAGGAAGGAAGGAAGGAAGGAAGGAAGGAAGGAAGGAATAGCAATAGCACTTAGACTTATATAACGCTTAACAG